AATTACATAGGAACAATAATAATGTTCCTTTGAAAAAACTTGAAAAATTGCAGAAGAATGCGGTAAACCAGAATATATAAAACAAATTAACAAGAATGATGAAAGGGGAGAAAGAATCTGATATATCTGGCAGTACCACTAGCAGCGTATCCTTCCGGTTGCCTGAATGAATTTATGTAGCGCTGACAGAATAGCACTGCGGCCCACACCCAACTGACTGGCTCCGAACGATAATAGGGTGGATGTATTGACTGGCAATCCGAGCATACCAATCGGTCTTTCAAGAATTATTCGGCGCAGTGAGGCGAAGCGGCGGCATGTGAGAAGAAAGTGATCTATTGTTTCCGGTTCATTGCAAACTACACATAGGTTAGTTAATGAAAATTCTGATTTGCTGAGATAAAAATTTAACAGAGGAACTCTACAGCGAAAGCTTGTGAGGGTTACCTCACATTGACGGGAAAGGCATTTTGCGGTGTTCCATGTGAATTGCAAGTGCCGAAATGCTTCAGATTGTAGAAGCGACGCTTCGTTGATTTTTAAGATTAACAGGCGTTTGAATCGTTCGGCAGTAATAAAAGGAAACTGTGGAGCTACAAGCACTACCGGGAAATTTAAAGATGCCGAAGCGAGCGAATCAACAATTTCATTTAGTTCAATTCCAGCATGCCCGGGGACCCAAATAAACCAAACTTCTGATAGGCTATGCGGTACGAGAGACCAAAATATCCTGAAAAGAGGAGAATTCTTTGCGGACGTGAGATGTATACATACAGACAAAGCATCCGAAATAATAATAGCTTTTGATTGCTGATAATTTAGTTTTCGAAGAGCCAATGTAATAGCCAGAAATTCTGCGAGATAAATTGGTGAGAAGTCAGGCGATCGGAGCGCAAAAGACCAATTAAGTTGATGAGAAAAAATACCTACTCCAGCCTTCTAAATATTTTGCGTTGCGTCCGTCGAAATTACTACGTATTTAGGAAAATGACTGAGATGGTCTTGAAGGAGGACCCCCAGAACATGCTTTGGAAGTAACTTGGCATTTTTCGGAAAAATATCATCGAAAATTAAGTCAACTGGCACCGAGCATTGGGTTTGGGGGGTTAAATGCCGGAAGGAAACGTGAAGATTTGATAACAGAGACTCGGCGAAAATGACTTGGGGTCTTTGATAACAAAACCACGGGCGCTGAAAGAAACTAGATGTTTGATGAAAACTGTCTATGACCAGAAGAGGGGTGCATCGTAAAGTTTTAAAAATGTTTGCACAGTAAGCTGTCGAAATTTAGCATCAAGTAGAATGATTCTAGCTTCCAAATAAAGCACGCTATTCGCGACACACCTAGGTAGCCCGAGACACAGCCGCAGAGCTTGCCTTTCTAGCAATATAAGAGGTCTTAATTTGTACTCAGCCCTTCCAGAAACCAGAACGCAGCCAAACTCCAGAATTGGGCGTACGTAAAGTTTGTATATCATAAGTAACGTATCCCTGCGCATCCCTGACTTCTTATTGCAAAACCGGCGGAGCAATCCTGCGGCGCTTTCTGCTTTACGGGTGTTTGATTCTATTTGTTGCTGCCAATTTAAATTGTCCACGTAAACAATACCAAGATATTTTAGCACTGTTACTTGTGGAATCGGATCATTTCGGTAATGCAGTGAAATAAATACGGGAACGGATAGAGGGAATACAAGCAGAGCACATTTGCTAACATTAAGTGAAAAAGACAGCCCGCCAAGCCATACCTCAAGCTCACTCAAATATGACGGTAAGATTTGATACAAACTATTGATATCTCGGGATGACGAGAAAAAAGCAATATCATCGGCGTAGACGTAAAGAGGAACATTTTTATGAACGGGAATAGATGACAACAATATATTAAATAAAAGAGGTGACAGGACTGATCCTTGCGGAACACCTCTTGTTTGCTTATATGAAGCAGAAGTAATTCCCTCGTGGCAACAAAAGAATTGTCTCTCAAAGAGAAACTCCTGAATCCAAGATATAATGTACTTGGGAACCTCACAGTCCACTAATCTTGAAATTAATGTACTGTATTCCACACTATCGTAGGCTTTTGCGATATATAACGTGACTAATGCAGAAAGCTCACCAGATACTTTTGCAAGGCGAATTCGGTTTTCCAAATCAACATGAGCCGACCATATAGAGCACCCCTGTCTAAATCCTACTTGCCTTGGTGAAAGGATGTCCTGACGAGTGATGAATTCACTGAGCCTTCTATGAAGAATTCTTTCAATTATTTTAACTAGGTTTGAAGTAAGCGAAATTGGCCGAATGTTATCCCGGACATATCCGAGGCTTGGATTTTTTCGCAGCAACACAACTTTAGCAATTTTCCATACGCTTGGAATCCATGTGTGCTGTAAGGAGCAGTTAACAATATTCAAAAGCTCCTCGGGATGGGAATTAAATATCAATTTAATCATAGAGTTTGTAATCTGATCTGGACCGGGAGCCGCTTGCTTTACAGTTAGTATGACATCTGCCAGTTCAGCCATAGTGACCTCCCGAAAGTCTGAGGTTGCGCTTTTTAATGTCACAGGTCTCAAGCATGACGAAGCGAAACGCGCTTGAAGTCCTTTCGCGATGCCCTCTAACAAATCTATTGTCTCTTTAGGAGACAGCACTACTGAATGCGAATATGCTGGTACCTGCGTCAATTTTTCCTTCCGTAGAAACCTGTACAGGGCAGATCTTTTATCAGGTTTTGATAAACGCGAATGTAAGTCAGAATTGTGTTTATCTCTAGCTATTGCAACTGTACGTTTAAACAGCGCTGCGTGGAATTTATAGTCAACCCAATTTTTCGGAGTATGGTTGTGGCGTATACGTTTCCAAGCAGCCTTACGTCTCCTATACGCAAGCGTACAATCTTCATTCCACCAAGCTGAATTTGACGGTATGCTGCCGTACTTAACAGTAAACTCTGCCGGCTGGACAGAGTCACTTAGACACTCTACGACTGAAGCAGCTCGTTGCTGTCCAACGCGTCCTCTGCGCGGAGTGCGCGGAGTTTAAAACAGTTTTATAAATTTTATAGTTGGTGAACCATTGTTGCCGGATAGCAGAGGTAAGTTGTGGTAGCATTATGTCATAGGTAATTGGTACATAATCACTACTCGTCCCATTATCAAACGTTTCCCACGATGAAATCATAAACTGGCCACACGAAAATGTTAGGTCTAATGTTGATGAGCTTATCCCGCGTAGAAAGGTAACTTGTCCAAAGTTATGACAGCGAAAATTATTATCCTGCAACCGATTCCACAATCTTTTGCCACAGTCATCTGTTTTAAGCCCCCAAGAAGTGTGATGCGAGTTAAAATCCCCAGCCAATAAAATTGAATTTGACGAAGAATTCTTGATATTACAATCTAGGTGATCTGTGCGTCTTACTCCATTCGGAAAGTACGCATTAATCACTGTAATCCTGTTGGAGTCAGGTAACAATCTATTCCTAATAATTCACAATCCGGACAAATATGTTCAAAAGTTACAGTAACATGATGACACATTTTTGAAGATATTAGAACCAATAATCCACCTCCTCTACCTGGCCGATCCAGTCTAAAAGTTCGAAAATATTTCAGAGTAAATGTTTGGTTTACTGAAAGCCAAGACTCTTGAAGTAAAATTATATTAGGATTTGTTTGCTGTATGAGATAAATAAGACCTGTGTAAGCGGAAGATACGGAGCGACAATTCCACTGAAGAACTTTTACAGGCACTATGATGGACTTAATATAGTTGACTCTACTTCAGAACGCAAAACGTCCTGCTCATTGTTGGTATCAGTAATAATTTTTTTTTGGTTTTGACATTAGCAAACTGGTTGGAGACAATGGAGCATTGCGTCGTTTATGAGTGATATTTTCAAGCCTCATGTCACCAAACGACCCACTGGGCCCCACAGGGGTCGACGACTGAGTGCTGACGAGCGTTTCAGGGGTAACATCTTCTTAACGCCGATTATTTTGTTCATTGTCGAGGTGCTCAGTTTCACCCTGGACCGTGACAGTGTGTGCAGCGAAGGAGGGAATAAGGCTGTTTAACCTGGCGGCGAGCATCTCGGTCAAACCTTTAGCAAAGGTGTTGAAAAGCCGTTTCATAACCATAGACATATTATTTATCGCTGCCGACACTGCGGAAGCGACCGTCGCTTCAATTGACCCACACTGGCGTGACGTAGCAGCAGTGTACCCCACTTCGCGCTCTTTAATGAAGGAAGTTGCCTCAGACCGAGAACAACGGCGTTTCTCCATTATATCTAGAATTTGTGTTTCACGTTCTCGAGCAGGGCACCTATTGTCCGTGGCTGTGTGTGCTCCATCACATAGGCAACACCTGCAGTTCTCTACCTGACAATTTGATGCGGCATGTGCCCCACCGCAATTCGCACATCTCAATGAGGACCTACAAGCTTAGCGTTATGTCCAAATCGCCAGCAGTTACGGCATTGCAGTGGGCGAGGTGTCAATGCCTCTACACGGAATAGGTAAGGCCAGGCCTTCAGCTCAGAGGGGCGTGTGAGACCAGCAAAGGTAACGATGACGCTTTCAGTGGGGACTCGCGTATCACCTACAGGTCTGGTGCATCTGTAGACAGATGTCACGCCAGCCGGAGAGACTATCTTTAAGAATGCCTCAGGACTAATGTAAGTTGGAACACCACGAATAAAGCCCTTCACACAAGCAAAATGAGGGGGGATAAAAGCGCGAACAGCAATGAACGCAAATCTCGTGGTGGCCAGTAAGTCTGTTAAGCATTGAATGTTTGAAGACCTGCATAGTATGCCAGTCTTGCCGAAACGCCTCACCTCCGAGATGTCCAGAAAATGACCGCTTATGTTGCGAAGTTCTTCTTGGAACACCTCCGTTTCACTCAACCGAATGGCACCACCATCAGTGGGCACAAGCGCGACAGGCAAACTGCTTACGCCGTTCTTGAGGAAACACTCCAGTGGTACCGATTCAGCAGGGCGACTGGCCGACCAGGGCGAGCCCTGGCCGGGGCCGGAGACCGGCATTGATGGCTCCTGAAAAATCAGCAAAAAGAAATTCTACCGCTAATAAAGAATCAAAGGTGATGAGTGTGCCCGATCCCCTCTCACAGGCCGTGCAATCGAAAGCGCCAACTACTGCAGGAACGATCACCTTCTTGGCTCAGGCCTTCTTGCAGCGCCTTGTCACTGCTCTCGAACGAACAGACAACAACCCCGAACCGGTCGACTGTCTCGTCTTCCTCTGGTGCATCTGTAGACAGATGTCACGACAGCCAGAGAAACCATATTTAAGAATGCCTCAGGACTAATGTTAGTTGGAACACCACGAACACCGACGTCATGCAACTGTGTGGGAAGAACGTGCCATATTATTCTTTCCCGCTCTGGTTTAGAGGCAGATTTCGCAGCGCACAGGGTACACGTATAGAAAGAGCCAAAACCGAAGACCATAAGTATATTGATTGATTGATTTGTGGGGTTTAACGTCCCAAAACTACCATATGATTATGAGAGACGCCGTAGTGGAGGGCTCCGGAAATTTAGACCACCTGGGGTTCTTTAACGTGCACCCAAATCTGAGTACACAGGCCTACAACATTTCCGCCTCCATCGGAAATGCAGCCACCGCAGCCGGGATTCGATCCCGCGACCTGCGGGTCAGCAGCCGAGTACCTTAGCCACTAGACCACCACGGCGGGGTACCATAAGTATATAACAGGGAGCTTCTGAATAGGGGCCCCAAAAGTTTCGGGCCCCAAAGCCTTTTGCGTATGAACGGTTTGCGTCAAGCAGGAACGACGAGTTTTCGAATAGGGCCTGCGACGCTTTGGACACTGTCCCTAGTCTATATGTCACTCTAATCTTGGCCGAGAGCCGTCACTTCAGTGGGTGCCGTCACGTTTGTCTGACTCAAAACTTTTGCGGCCAGCTTTAGGGATCCCACTAAATTCGAATATTAGCGTCCCCAATTCAAAAGCCAAACGCGGTTTGGGTTTTGCGCATGCACAGTGTCCTTGACGATGTTTCTTTGGGGCCCCAGAAGTTCGAAAACTTCCGAATAACTTGAAATAAAAACCTATAATATCTAAATGATCAAGATGCTCGTTACGTGTAATTGCAAAAAAAAAAAATACCGACGTCTAATCGCTTTGTGTAGCAGGCTCCCAAGCACGGAGTAGCCCTGCGCATGGGGTTTTCGGAGTTTCAATTCAGTCACTGTTAGAAAAGCAGGTAAAAGATAAAGTGGGACGATGCGTACAGGAGCAGTTCCCGCTTGAATCAGGCCCCGGAAACCTATTGCTAGTTTCGGTTTCAAGGAACATGCACGCTCGTAGCGGTGGCCGGGCATCCTCACATCCAATTGAACGGAGTGAGGTTTATGTGAATGTTCGCACTTATTGGCTTTCACAAGTTTTTATAAACAAACAAAAATAACAGCATATCCACGGAGTGAATGATGAGTGGGGCGAAGCGTCCGTCAGCCCGTCCGTGCTTCCGTCCATGCATCCATCTAGTGAACACTCCAAGTGCCGCCATCTCCCATCTCGCATCCCCAGTGGCACATACCTGCTCTATGGCGGGTGTCACAGGTGGCTACATACATACATACATACATACATACATACATACATACATACATACATACATACATACATACATACATACATACATACATACATACATACATACATACATACATACGGAGGAGGAGGAGCGACAGACCCACGCCATAAAGAGCTTTGCCGCTAAAAAATGTTATATCACTGTAAATAACTTTTATTTTGTTTATATGTCTTTTCTTGTTCCTTATTTTGTGAATTATAAATAAGGCGAAGCGCGGGACGTGATTGACTCGTGTTTGTAGTGCCTCCGCTCCTTCTCGCCCCTCGCTCAGCGATATTAGAAGTAGGAAAGCGCTCAGTTTATCTCGCTCAGTTGGCATGCATGCCAACTACGGGAAAGATAAAGACAGCAAGTTGTGGCGGGCAGAGAACGGAAGCCGCAGTGAGCAACACCGAACAAGTCAACCGTATACGTTAGTCGAAGATGTCTTAATCGGGCAACACGTGTTTTCCGCGGCTCTGCTGTATGCTAACCCGATTGATTGATTGATTGATTGATATGTGGGGTTTAACGTCCCAAAACCACTATATGATTATGAGAGGCGCCGTATTGGAGGGCTCCGGAACTTTTGACCACCTGGGGTTTTTTAACGTGCACCCAAATCTGAGCACACGGGCCTACAACATTTCCGCCTATGCTAACCCGAGTATTTCTAGTTCCGCAAAGGTTTTTCGGCATTTCCTAAAGGCAGCGTATGAGCACAAGAATTTGTACCCATTATTTGAGCAGGTGTTGATTTTGCATGAGTACATATAAGTAAACCCAGTTCTTTGCAAGCCGGACTGGATTGACAGAAGTTCAGTGTCGCTTGACTAATTGGTGAAGACGGCAGCCAAGCTCCTGTTGGGAAAATGCGTTTATTGAAAGAGTTGATTCCAGTTGTCTCGGCTACATAGTTTTACCTTCTTTTTTACTTTCGGCACATAGTAAAAAATGATGTCAAGTAATTATTGGCTGCTTCCTGCTCAGGAAACTCTTGTAGCTACGGTTTGAAAATGTTTGAGTCTTTACTTCTAATAGTGTCACTCAAGTAGTCGTGATGAGCTAAACACTTCTAAAAATTACAGAGAATTTCAATGAAACCAACGTTTTGACAAGTGAACTTTTCTTCGTCAAGGGAACGCTGCTGCCCTGAAGAAGACAAGTCAACCTGCCGAAACACTGTTTCCAGCGGCGTTCTTTCTCGAAAAACTTCAAGCCTCTCCGTGCCTCTGAACTTCAGTCTAGTCTGGTACTCAAGGTCTGTAGGAAAACTGTGCGCGCCGTCATAACAAACGTGATCGAGTCAAATAAGACGTGTCCTACTGGTGACTGTTGATAACTTTCGCATTGGTTCAGATACTCTGGGTTCAAGATTGGCTCATTATGCCCGTATGTCAGTTGTAAGTTAAAGCTGCTGCTTATAGATTGACACTTTCCAACTACGTGTATGTCCGTTTTTTTTAATACAAAACGTGCACTAAAAAAAGTTCATTTTATATGTGCCGATCGAGTTTCGTCTTACTGAAAAATTAGTCAGCCTGAACACGAACAAAATTTTAAAAAAAAGTATAACAAAATTTTACGAAAGGCGGCATCGCCCAAGCGTCTAGCCATGCGTCCAGCGGACCTGAAAGAAGGCACGAGCGCATTCCGCTTGCAAGCGAAGTGGGAAAGGAGGGCTTCCGCGGCAACCCTTCTCAATTTTTCGTCCTTTCCCTTTATTTCAGGACATCACCAGTGGCGTGATGAAAGAAATTTTATGTTCGCGATTTATTTCTAGTAGGACGCCCGGCCACCGCCAGTGGTAAAGTGGTGCTGCCGCTGCCGAGAGCGAATACATGGGAGGTATAAGGAGTTTACGTCCCCTCCTCGAATTCGCACGGTGATCGCGTTCTGCAGAGAGAGAGAGAGAGAGAGAGAGAGAGAGAGAGAGAGAGAGAGAGACAAAAAAAAAAAGATTTCCCTTCGAGCATCAATATTCCTCTTCCGTCGGCGCTCAGCTAGTCACGCACAACGAGAATCGCGCAAAGGCATGCACTGCACGTCGAGCACTCGCCGTCCCACAGTGTCACCTCGATCGCGCCGGCATCCTTTATAGACTATACGGAGTCGCCTGCTCTGACGCATAGAGGCGTACGGTTTCGGCGCCTCGCCGAACCAAGGCGACGGTGCCAGACCGTACGCGGACAGGAAATGCGGCCAGACACAAACGCGAAGAGCGCTGCCGCTGTAAACCGAGACAAATCGAGATAGGCGATGGGACGCCTCCCTCCCTGGCGGAGGTATCCATGATCTCGAGAACGGGCAAGCGCGCCACTGAGACCCCGACGCGCTTCTCGCGACTGGATGGATGGATGGATGGATGGATGGATGGATGGATGGATGGATGTGGCTGTACCCTTTAGATCGGGCGCATGCGAAGGAGGAAGTGCACGCTCGTTACCCAACACGACACCGAAGAAAGTTGTCCTTCCTTGAGCATAACGGCTTTCTTATTTTTAATGTAATACGGGTTACCAAGGCAAACGACGGTATGTGTATATTCAAAAACAACGGAAAGCGAAGAACTGAAGCTTGCAAATTGGGAGTAAACATTATTTGGTGCCGTTACCGAGGCTGGTGATAACAGACGAAATCCGATACGAATGAACATGCGCAACTGTGCCAACACTGCGGAACAAAGCCTGCAGCCGCGTCGCATATATCGCGTGCGGTGACTTGTAGCCGTGACAACCTTTCGGTGCATGAAAATATTCGTCAAGTGCATGTAATAGATTTCTTGTCTATTAGAGTATCAACGCTAATCCTCAACTGTTGCAGCCTGCCCAGTCTACTTTTAGTCAACTTGTGCGTTCGAAAGTTAACTTTATTAAAAAAAAAAATCACGGCTGCATAAGGCCTTTATTGTTGTCATCTGACGACGCAGGCATGGCGACGAAGCGATTACTACTTCCTACCGGCTGTTTACGCCGCTGAATAGGTGGAGGGAAAAAAAAAAGTCTCATTGCGCACGGCTTCAATCCGGAACTTATTACCGTCGCGTTTGCCTGACTAACTTCCTTCTCTTTCAAATTTCCCGAGCATGGGTCAAGGCACTCGTATATAACTCGCGTCGAGCCGCAGACTCAGTGGGACCGAAACGAGCGCAACCAGAGAGTTGGGAAACGTCGCGTAGTGTCACGCCGAAACACGCCGCCGGCGTTGCGCAGGAAAGCCCCGCGGAAAAGGGACGCTTCGTTCCAGTGAAGAACACGGCGCGCGTACCAACCACTCGCACAAGGCCTCGGTCGCTTATACGGCATAAACGTACACAAAGCCATCACGTCTCGGGAGGGCAGGGAAGCGTTAGATGAGTTTGAAAAACAAAAATAAAGAAAGGACAACGCAGCTTGTATAGTTCGCAAAAGCCGAATGCCGCAACGGTGAGCCGTCAACGCAACAGTGACGCAAGCCGTGCAAAAGGAACCTCCATAGTCAAGCGTGGCTGATGAAGATCACGAAACGAGCGGGCTAGAGCCACCGCGTATACGCCTTTTGCATCGTATTCGCCGTAAACGATATGCATTCTCGCGCATTTGGACAGCATTCGAACGACAAAGAGTTGGGAGAGGTTCATCGTATAGGAAAGAAAGATTTCGGGCCCGG